GCGTGTGCGGTGTGTGCGGTCGCGCCTGTTCGGTGTGAACTCACACACTCTCTCTCACGCTTTGCACAGAACTGCCGATTGGAGAAGTCGTTCCTGATCGACGTGGTGAGCAAGATCTACGTGGCGACGGACAGCTCGCCGGTGGACATGCAGACGTACGAGCTGTGCTCGGATATGATCGACGTCGTGATCGACGTCTCGTGCATCTACGGCATGAAGGAGGACTCGGACGGCCTGGCCTACGACGACAAGTCCCAGTCCCTCATCAAGCTCAGCAACGGCATGGTCCTCTACCTCCGCGAAGTCAACAAGTGCGTGCCACTCCCTTCCCCCACAAAGCTCACTCTTCACACCACGAGTCTGACACCACACATTACACACGACACGACACGACACGACACGACACGATAATCAGGTATCTTGCCCTTGTGTGCCTCCTGGCGGAAGGAGAACTTCGATAAGCACGGTATGTCATTGCACGACAAGACTTGAGAGAGATAATGATGGTGAGCTTAGCGTTTATCGGTGTGCACTGCAGGTCTGCTCAACTACAACTTCCAGTGCCTCAAGCAGTCGATAACAGAGGTCTTCCAGGCCAGCAACACCGCCAAGTAATCACACCAACTTCAGCCACCAACCTCTGCCTCCTCAATAAATGCAAGACACGACCTTTGTCTTCATCATCTTCATCTTCAGAAAAAAAGCTCATTGGTTGAGTGTCCTTTTAAGGCTGAACATGGCCATGATGCAGCCAAGCTTGCCAAGTGGATGGTCAAGCAACTGGAGTGGAAGAAGTGGAAGGAGAGTGACCTCAAGATCTTCAAAATATGTGCATGGTATGTTGATAGTGCAGTTGGTTTAATGAAAGTAATGTGATAATGATTTACTGGATTCATGTGTCTTCTGCTTCAGAATTACTTTGCAAGTGTGGCAGAGGTGGAGAAGAACAAGACAAAACTGACTGAATTGGTATGCACCATCCCATTGTGTATGTGTATGTGATGAACTCTTATTACAATTTCATTGTGTATGTGTATGTGATGAAATATCATTTTAAATTTACAATAAAACTAATTTATGTTATCCTTTCATTTTGTGGTGTTGTCCCATCATAATACCAGTTGTTTCATTATACTGCATATTTCCATTCTATTCAAGAATATTGACTCTTATAATCAATTATAACCACCATTTTATGTAATCTATCATGTACACATAAACAATAGAACAACTGATATATTCTCATCATTGAAGATCATTCTTGACTCTCAGCAGACTGTACCTGAGACTCAAGAGCAAGAAGAAGCTGAGAAAAATAGCACCACTGGAGCCAGCACCATCATGGAGATGTCACAAGATTTGCTCTCAGCACCAGAAAGTTTGATTTTGAATGAAATGTAGTCCTTAATAAATCTCACCAATCCTGTACTTTCTTCAGGTTGATGTGACAGCCCAAACAACACCTACCAGAGGGGAGCAAGTAACCCTGCCAACCACCATGGCCACTGATGAGGAGCTGTTGAAGCTCCTGAAGGAGGTATGCTTTTCATGCATTATTAGATACAAGGATGAGTGGGAGGACTTCTTCCAGCACTGTGACACCCTGTGCACTGACAAGTTCTGGACCACTACATGAGGTGAGTGAGCCATCAACTGGAAGAAGCTCATCAGCTCAATGGTACATTTTGTTGTGTATGTGTATGTGACAGAAAATTACAAATTTCCAAACACATACTAACTCCACCATTTCATGCAGCTGGAGGCTCAGAAGCTCCATCCCCATGCTCAATGGCAATGAGGCACAGATTGTTGCAGTGTCTCAGATTCACCTCCTCATGGATTCATGCAATCAGCAATGACAACAAAATGCCAGCAGGATCATATTCCAGCTCCCACTCAGGACCATGCCTTATGCTGTACAGGCACTCATCATTCTTGCAATCAATGAGCACCATCTGCATGTGGCGGGGCGCGAACATGAAGGCGCTAAAGTGCAAACGCCTGGTCGCCAGCATCTCCACAGGGTTTGGGTGGGGGTTGAACATGGATGACATGACCGTGAAGCGGTCATCAGCAGACAGTCCATCAATGAAGGCCTGGACGCTGCCTTCCTCACCGCTGTAGCTTTTGAGCTCTCCCTGCCATTCGTAGATGTTGGGTGGTGCTTGGCAGAGGTGTGTCACTGTACCTCTGGCATCCTTCTGCGGGGTGTTGAACAGTGCGTTGACGAGGGAAGTGTAAATGCGTCAAGTGTAGGCGATGTCTCGCTTTCCATAGGCGTCCACGACCCGCTTGGCCTTGGTCTCAGCAGTGATGAGGGGGCGCTTCTTCTCAGATTGCATGTTGGACTTGGCTGTTGCTCAGCACCACCACTGACCAACCTGAATTTGATTCCCTGCTGGCATCACTGTCAGATTTCCAGCATCACAAGAGTGTGATTGAACAGATGATTGGTCTGGACCTCATGGAGGTGAATGCAATGTTGTA